TCCCCTCTCCCATTTCTTCTCTCCCGGGATGCCTTCTCCCCTCTTCCCATTTCCCCCTCTCCTGACTCCCCTTTCCCCATCTCTCCTGTCTTGTCCCCCTCTCTCTCCTCCCTGTCTCCAGGGTCGCCTTCTCCCCATTCTCCCAACGTCCCCTTCCCTCTCCTCTCCCAGTTCCCCTCTCCCGGGCCACCTTCTCCCCTCTCCCGACTCCCCTTTCCCCATCTCTCCTCTCTTGTCTCACAACTCCCCTCTGCCCTTTCCCCTCTCCCCATCTCCTGACTCCCCTTTCCCCACCTCTCCCCTCCTCTCTCCCCTTCTCCCAGCTCCCCTCTCCCCTGCTCTCTGAGCTGCCCCTCACCTCCCCTCTCCCCTCTCTCCGCAGGCCGCCATGACCAAGCTGGGGCAGTGGCTCTGCGGGCTGGCCCTGCTGGGCTCGGCCTGGGCCGCGCTGGCTCTGGCCCCGCCGGGGCTGGAGCTGCCAGCACCGCTGCGCCAGGCCCTGCTGCCCCTGCCCGTCTACCTGCTGGTGGCCTTCGGCTGCTACTCTCTGGCCACCGTGGGCTACCGCCTGGCCACCTTCAACGACTGCGAGGAGGCGGCGGCCGAGCTGCAGGAGCACATCAGGGCGGCCCGGGCCGACCTGCGCCGGCGGGGGCTGCGCCTGTGACAGCAATAAAACCCAGGGACGGCGGCTCCGAGCACTGCCCCGTCATCCCGGGCCACGGGGGGCTCCGATGGGGGGGCTCCGATGGGGGGGCTCCGATGGGGGCCGAGGGCACTGAGGTCCTGGGTGCTGCTGGAAGTGACCCCGGGGGAATCACTCGGCTCTCCCCACTGCGGGATGGGTGTCTGGGGAGGGCTTGGAGGGGTCTCCGTGCAGGCTCAGTTTGCCCACCACCCTGAGGGGCTTTCAGGAGCCCGCCCCTGGCCTCTCCCTCCTCTGGAGAGCTCCCTGGAACTTGGCCCTGGAGGTGGATGCCGGGCCGGGCTTGGCTGCCCTTTAGATGTGGTTGGCCCCTGGCAGGTGGGAGCTGGAGGAGCCTCATCCTGACCAGCCTCACCCCGCTGGCCGCATTCCCGGGAAAGAGGAGAGGGACTGGCTCGGGTGGAGGGGGCAAGGAGAGGGACTGGCAGGGGTGGAGGGGGCGGCGCAGCCTTTAAATCGCGGCGTGGCCCCTCCCGGGGGCGTCACGGGGAGCTCCCCGATCCCGCCGGCTCCTCTGCCTGTCCAGAGCTCCACAATGGGGAGGGGGGCTCTGCCTGGGGGTGCCCCACACACGGGGACCCCCAGCCTGGTGTGCCAGGACCTGCCTCCCTGGCTCCTCCAGCCAGAGGATTTGGGGATTTTAACGAGCGGCTGCCCGTCCTCTGCAGAGAGGAGCCGTCGGGAGCAGGAGGGAGGACCCGGGTTAATTAGCAGGAGTGGCTAATTAGCTGTTTCCTGGGCAGCAGTGGCGGCTGGGAGCAGCGTGGGAAGCTCCCGGCGTTCACCAGCACAGGGATGGCTAAGGGGGGGTGACACCATCCCGGGTTCAGCCACCTGGGGGGCTTGGTGGAGCTGGGACCACAGGGTGAGGACAGCGGTCTCTGGGGGCTTCTGACAGCCCTTTGTGGGTTCCTCCGGGCCATCAGGGGCTTCTCATGGCCATCAGGGCTCCTTGTGGTCATTCAGGGCCTCCTCACAGCCCTCTGCAGGCTACTCATGGCAGTCCAGAGCTTCTACTTGTGTCCATCCAGGAGCTGCTTGTGGTCACCCAGGGGCTCCTCATGGTCATTCAGGGGCTACTCCCAGCCCTCTGTGGGCTACTCATGACCCTCTGCAGGCTCCTCATGGCCGTGAGGGTCTCCTTGTGGTCACTCAGGGGTACTCCCAGCCCTCTGTGGGTTACTCATGGCAATCCAGGGCCTCTACTCATGGCCATCCAGGAGCTACTCATGGCCAACCAGGGCCTACTTGTGGTCATCCAGGGGCTCCTCATGATCATTCAGGGGCTACTCCCAGCCCTCTGTGGGCTACTCACGATCCTCTGCAGGCTCTTTGTGGCCATCAGGGGCTCCCTGTGGTCATTCAGGGGCTCCTCCCAGCCCTCTGTGGGCTACTCATGGTCCTCTGCAGGCTGCTCGTGGCAATCCAGGGCCTTTACTCATGGCCGTTCGGTGGCTACTCATGTCCATCCAGGGGCTACTGGTGGTCATCCAGGGGCCACTCATGACAATCCAGGGCCTCTACTCACAGCCATCAAGGGCTACAACAGCCTGTCCAGCAGCAGCTCCTCCCTGCATGGCAGCATCCGGGAGCTGCTCCGCTGCCTCGGGCCTGGCGTGTGCGGCCACGTCACGAGGCAGCCGGAGCGACCGGTCGGGTGTGTCTGTGGGGAAAGCTGCCCTTTCCCGGGGCTGTGGGGCCGGGCTGGGAGCTGCTTCCACTGCTGGAGAGAGTGGGGGGCTCCTCCTCACCGGGAGCGGCCGGAGCAGGCGTGAGGGACAAGACGGAGCACGCCAGGAGCTCGTCCTCCCTCCCTCCCACCGCGCTCAGCTCGGCCCCATCCCATATGGATTTCTCCCAGGCTCTGTGTGAGGGCTGAGCTGCAGCCCCGGCTCCTGCCACTGCTTCCTTCATCCCACTGGAGCGCAGGATGGGGCTCCTGGGTCCTGGGGGTCTCCTGCACACGGGGAGGGGTCACTTTTCTCAAGTGTTTGGTGTGTGATTTGGTCCCGCCTGTCCCCCCGCTGCGGCACTGGCCTGATATCTTCGTTCCAGATCGCTGTTAATTGATCAATTGACGCGGGGTCGATGCCTGATCCGGGCCTGTTCGATCCGTGGGGGTTTAACAGGGATTTCCATCGACTCCCAGCTCCCAGAGCGGTGGCAGCTCCACAACAGAATTTCCCCCCCCCAGTGGCCCTGGGTGGCAGCTCAGGGGGGTCAGAGCAGGCCCCTGGCAACGCTGCTGTCCCCAGTGTCCCCTCCCTGCCCCAACCCAGCCCCGTGCCTGATCCCTTCCCAGCACCAGGGCTGATGCTTCCTTAATACTGGAAGGGTTTGCAGGAGCCTAGAGGGTACCAGGATGAGCCCCCGCCATGAGGAGCCCCTGGATAGTCACAAGGAGCCCCTGAATGGCCACAGGGAACCCCTGGATGGCCATGAGGATCCCCTGGATGGCCACAAGGAACCCCTGGATGGCCACGAGGAGCCCCTGGATGGCCATGAGGAGCCCCTGGATGGCCATGGGGAGCCTCTGGAGGGTCATAAGGAGCCCCCAGATGGCCATAAGGAGCCCCCAGATGGCCATAAGGAGCCCCTGGATAGTCACAAGGAACCTCTGGATGGCCACGAGGAGCCCCTGGATGGCCATGAGGAGCCCCTGGATGGTCACAAGGAGCCCTTGGATGGTCCTGAGTAGCCCCCAAAGTGTCTGTGGGGACATGAGCCATCTCAGCCTGTGCAGCAGGACACCAGGAGAGGGAGGGACAAAGACCAGGCGCTGGGAAGTCTCTGATTTATTAAAAGGCACTTGAATCCGTACAAAAAAAAAAGATGCCCAGGCCCCTGGCAGCCCCAGCCCGGCGCCAGGCAGAGCCGTGGGCATGGAAGACCATCTTCCCACCCTGGGATTTGGGGGTGCTCCTGGCACCCCGAAGGCATCGCTGAAGGATGCGGGGCTGGGTTGCACCGAGGCAGGAGGTGCCTCCTGGTGTCCCTTTGGGAGGGGACAGTGGTGGCACCCAGGGCTGTGGCGGCAGGGCCAGCCCAGGCTGGAGTTGGGGGGCTCCTCGGGGGGCCCCTCAGGCGGGCAGGGGGCTGTAAGACCTGTCCTGCCCCGTCCGGTACCACCGGAACAGCCAGAACCGCACGAGGCTGGTGACGACTCCCGGCACGTTGGGGACCTGCGGGAGGACACGGGGGGAGAGCGGATCTACCCCTCCCCCTGCCGTGCTGGGGGAGGTTTGTTGGCCCCGTCCCAGCTAATTAATTAAAATCAATCGTCATCGTGCCGAGCCTTGTCACGGGCTCAGCCGGGTGACACACGCGGCGCCGGATGGGGCCGGCCCCGAGCCAGCGGCTCAGCTGGGCCAGGAGGGGGGGAGATGGGATGGGGCGGGATGGGGTGGGGTGGGAGGACATGGGATAGGATGGACTGGGATGGACTGGGATGGAGTGGGGTAGGGTGAGATGGGATGGGGTGGGATGGGATGGGATGGGATAGGATGGACTGGGATGGGGTGGGGTGGGATGGGGATGGGGTTGGGATGGAATAGAGTGGGATGGGTCATGATGGAGATGTGGTGGGATATAGTAAGATGAGATGGGATGGGTTTGGGATGGAGTGGGATGGGTCATGATGGGAATGTGATGGGATGGGGATGGAATAGAGTGGGATGGGGTGGGATGGGGTGGATGGGGATGAGGTGGGATGGGTCACGGGGTGGGGATGAGGTGGGATAGGATGGGTCACGATGGGGATGTGGTGGGATAGGGATGGAATGGAGTGGGGTGGGATGGGGATGAGGTAGGATGGGATGGAGTGAGATGGGATGGTGTGGAGTGGAATGGGTCAGAATGGGGATGGGATGGGATAGGGATGGGGATGGGATGGGATGGAGTGGGGTGGGATTGGGGTGGGATGGAAGAGTGGGATGGGTCACAATGGGGATGTGGTGGGATGGAATAGAGTGAGGTGGGGACAAGGTGGGATGGAATGGAGTGGGATGTGTCAGAATGGGGATGTGGTGGGATGGGATGGGATAGAGTGGGATGGGATGGGGTTGGGGTGGGATAGGGTGGCGAGAGGATAGGACAGGACAGCATCCCCTGGCTGTCCACCACCCCAACCCACCGTGATGTAGGGGTCATGCATCTGCAGGCCATAGAGTGTCCAGCTGCTGGAGGCCACGAAGGTGGTCACGGTCAAGGGGAAGGACAAGCACCGCGTCGACTTGCTCCGGACAACCTTGGCCTGCAGGAGCAAACGTCAGGCTGGGCCCGGGCTGGGCCCCCCAGCTCCTCCCAGCCCCACACACCAGGTCAGCCAGCGGTGAGAGGTACATGGTGATGGTGAAGACGCTGCAGAAGAGCCCCAGGCGCCCCAGGCGCGTCCCCGTGTCCACCAGGAGGGCAAAGTAGCCGCAGCCGGTGACCACCACGGCCAGGAGCAGCAGGATCTGCAGCAGCACGGGGCGCTGGGGGGAGGACAGGGGGATGTCAGGGAGAGGGTCCCCCCCCGTCCCCACATCCCCCAGGCTGCTGCCTCACCTTGGCAGGGCTGTAGTAGAGATACACCAGGATGTAGAGGGTCTGCAGGGCCGCCCCGATGGCGTTGACGGTGATGAGCGTCCCGTCCCCCTTCAGGCAGCCATAGCCCAGCCAGCCCACGTTGCTGCAGAGAGACACGGCACAGGCACTGGGCTGCAGCCCAGGGGACCCCCCAGATCTCTGTGACCCCCCCCTCCCCAGGGCCCAACCCCACCGTACTTGGCGTCGGTGGTGAGGAAGGGCAGGAACTGGATGTTCTCCACACTCTTGGTCGCCAACATCTGGCGCAGGTCAGACCTGGGGAGAGCAGGGGGCAGAGGCCTCCTGGGTACCCACCAGTGCTGGGGGTGGGGGGGCTACAGTCTCTGCGGCCAGCAGGCACTGCATCCCTCAGCCCCCCTCCACTGCACCCCCAAATCCCTCTGCACCAGCCACCCACGACCCTCCCTGCACCCACAAATTGACTCTGGTGGTGCCCCCACTGCACCCCACAAACTGGCCCTGGTGCCCTCCCCATTGGACCCCCTCACAGCCTCCACTGCACCCCACAAACTGACCGTGGTGCTGCCCCCATTGCACTCCTAAATGGCCCTGGAGCCTTCCGTATTGGACCCCCAACCCTCCCCCGGCCCTCATTGCACACCCCTCAAATTTGCCCTGGTGCCCTTTCCATTGCACCCCCAAATGCTCCCCCATGGCCTCCACTGCAGACCCCAAAATGCTGGTGCCCTCCCTGTTGCACCCCAAACCCTCCTCCAGGACCCCCATTACACTCCAAAACTAGTCCTGGTGTCCTCATTGTACTCCCACCCCCCCAGGCCCCACTGGACCTTCGAATCCCCCCATGGCTTCCACTGCACCCCAAAACTGGCCCTGGTGTCCTCATTGCACCCCCAATCCCTCCATGGAACCCCCACCCCCCACCATAGTCCCCACTGCACCCCAAATTAACCCTGGTGTCCTCACTGCAACCCCCAAACTCCCTATGGTCCCCCATTACACCCCAAAACTGGCCCTGGTGTCCTCATTGCAACCCCAACGTCCTCGTGGTCCCCACTGCACTCTCAACCCCCCCATGGTCCCCACTGCACT